CTGGGCAGGGCTCGTATCTCCTGCCTGAGCTCGCAGCCGCGGCCTGAGTTCTGGCAGGGGGGTCAGAGATGGCACGGAGCAGGCAATCCAGCATCGCCTCTGCCTCGAGTCCTTGCTAAGAAAACGTGGGCAGGGGAAGGAGGCTCCAGAGGTTGAGGGCTCGGACAAAACCCTCTTCCTTTATGCCTGTGATGTTGTAACGCTGCCTTGACCAGGGCCCAGCTGTAAAGCCAGGAGAGGAAAGCCTGGAGTTGCATCTGCCGTCACCGGGGGACGGGGACCCGGTGGCTCAGGATGTGCCGTGCAGGGTGTGGGGTGTGAGTGTGTGCAGCCTGGCTGCCGGGGCGGGGGGGGGCACGAGCCCCCAGCCAGCGCCAGGAGCGGCCTCCCCATCCGTCCCTGGAGCCCTTTCCAGCCGCACCTCCCCGGGGCAGGGCTCCATCCTCAGGGAGCGTTTTGGGGGTCGCGGGGGCTTTTTGTGATTTAAGCTTTGTTGTGGTATTTGTTTGGAGGCTGGGAAGTTGTGTGTCAGGTGACTCAGCGGTCGCCATGGCGACGAGCATCAGTTAATGAACAGAGGGAGTAAAGGAGCCAAAATAAATGTCAGAGCGTGAAATAGATGTGGTGGAGCTGGGCAGCACGGGCAGGCAGTGGGGCTGCCCCCTCCCCGTGCTGGGGGGCCGGTGGTGCTGCCCTGCCTGTCCCTGGTCGGGCTGGGGCTCCCTTTGCCTGGGGAGGGGGGGCAGATTTTGCTAAACCACCTGCAAGGTGCAGGGTGAAGGAGTGAGGAGCGTGGCGAGCCCCAGCCATGCTGCCTCTAAACGTGCAGGCCCCAGCCTCACTGGGGCACATGCGGGTTGTCCTCGTCCTCTGGCACCGGGCAGCTGGAGCCCCGCTGCCCGCACGGACCCCATGCCCGGCCTCCGCTGCAGCGCCGGAGCAATCTGGAAACCTCAGCGATGCTGCCGTGCTTTCCCCCTCCTGCTGCTCGGCCATGCCTGCTGGGGCTGCTCAGCACTTCCCTCTGCCGTGGGCAGCGGGAGGGAGTTGGTGTTGGGTCCTGCGGCAGCAATGCTGAGCAAAGGCTCTGCTCCTGCCCTGAGTCCCTTGATTTCCTCCGCACCCCACCCCCCCACCCCACCACACCTTATCGCCTTGGCGAGGTGTCGG